ACAACGTAAAAGTTCAGATGTTCATCTACACTACATTTTGTGAAATAGACTCATTTTAGATGAAATACTCAATCAAATGCCATAGAAGCTTTCTGAAAGTTGATTTTTCCTTTTTTGTGTCAATAGAATTATATTTAAATGAAAGCTCTTGTGATAAGCGCTTAGCGTATTTTCTTAACAAATCATACTGATATGCACGTCTGAAGATTAAATGAAAGATAAGGAAACAGAAAACGTTAGATGTTGTAAGTGTATTTTTGAATCAGTTTCTTTATCAGTGCTAACTAAGAGCCTGCTGAGCTAAGCGTGGTGATCAGCACATTTAAAGCACTTATGTGCGTAGGTTAAAGGATTTCTGAAGTGCTAAATTACCTTGAGAAGCTTCCAGTAAGTGAAAACATCCGGTGTACTGAGCAGGAACATGAAACACGGCTTATTGCTCATCACTATTATCATTTCCCAATCCTATAAATTTAATATATGTATTTTAAACAATACATACTTAATACAGTTCAGGAAGATATGCAGGATGGGTCACAACTGAACAAATTAAAATGCAATAATCCTTGATTTTTACCTGCTTATATTTACTTTAACATTGGCTTTAAAGTTCCTAAATGTTAGAAAATCATATAAAATACATTTTGAGTAAGTGGGATTTCTTAAAGGAAAAAATTGGCATTCCTAGAAGTTTGTCCCACTCAGAGCTAGAAAGGCTTTCTCTCCGTTAACAGCCAGAAAAAAGGCAAAGCTTTTGTTCTTGGACTCAATCAGAACAGCCCTGCATGACTCACTGTTGAAAAAAAAGGCATCTTATGCTGGGTATTACTATAGCCCCTCAGTCTTTTTATATCCTCTCACTTTAAGACCGCCCGTCCTAAAAGGCAATCTTCTTCTGATTGGCTGCCTGTCAGGAGGGTGGGGCTCTCAGCATCTCTCACTGACATCACACAGACTCAAGAGCAGAAAAAAACTGTCTGAACTTGAACCTTTAGTGCTGTCTGAAGCCTGAGTTTATGGCTTACAGGGATTACTTGTACATTCTGTAACGTCATTATTTGAAACTTTGGCTATTGTAACAGTACGCCATATGTATATGACAGAATTTAAGGGAAAGCACAAAACTGATTATACACAATTTTTTTTTTACAAAAAACTTATCATCATCAGCAACAACAAACCTGTCAACAAACTTTGTAGCAAATAACAAGACGAAGGAGAAAACTAAGTTACTATTTCATTATAGTACAGGGAATATAACAAGCTGTAATGTAACCAGATTAACAACCTAAGACATTTACCCAACTCTTAGTAACATTAATAACTTATAAGGTTTCCTGCTTTGTTGCCACTGCAGTATAATGAAGGAATAAAAGCGGAGGCATGGAAAGTTGTCGAGGCTTTATATAATGTTTTTACGCTGGTGTCTTTAATTTACTATATTTATTCATTCAGTTTATTTTTAGGTTGTGCTGGTGGCAGGTTCTTTGGCTGGACAGAACTAAAGTTTGGCATACAGTTTATTCCATGACCTTCCCGACACACGAACAGCATTAAAACAGTGACAGAAAGCAGACAAGCTTACTGTGCCGAGCCTGGCAACATGATCGATTGCCAAGTAACCCAAGCTCTGTTAATCAGGTTACGTGTGCTTTGATTTAATTCAAGATGACCTAGGGTCAAGCGTCTGTGTGGAAACAATTAGTGTGGCCCTTTCTTACAACATGTCTATTAAAGCCAGGGCGGTATCCCAGTCATCCACCGTGCACAATACCAGTAACAACTGGAGAACTGAAGAAGCTTAATGGAATGCAACGAAAATGCCTTTCATTTTTCCTGCAAGTCATGTCAAAAAAATTCAGAGCTGAACACGGCTTATTGTTCATCGCCACTGTCATTTTCCATCCCTATTCTCGAGATAAGGCAATGCTGAGTTTCAAACGATCATCTAGGCAGCTCTTAAGGCCCTTTGCAGACACGATTCCAATAAGTTTGGGCTGTAAAAGGAAATAAATGATGTAGGACTTTTATTGTACATTGCTTCTTTACTGCAAATTAAGCACTTTTTTTTTAGCATGCTGTTCTCTCCCTGCTGACCACTGCGAAGCCATGCCCAGGTAAAGTATTTGTCAGGCAGCCACTGCCTCACACTTGACCTTTTGGAAGTCAAGAGTGGGTGTTGCTTAGTGATCATGTATAGGCGTGATTGGGGATCAAGCTGTCGGTCCTCAAGTGTGTATACATGACATAACTGAAATTCTTGCTTTCTGCAGTGAATGGTGCACTTTTTCAGATTTATGTAGAACTAACGTGTTTATTTCTTTAAATAATGTCGGTTTTTCTGTTTATTTCTTCAAAGATTTACTTAACCAAACTAGCTTACTCCATTGGGGTGGCTGTAGCTGAGGAGGTAGAGCACTAATCAGAGGGTTGTGGGTTTGCATGCCAAATATTCTCGGGCAAGATACTAACCTCAAGTTGCTTTCAGATGCATCAATCAGAGTATGAATGTTAGATGTTAGTGCTCTGAGTGCTCCGGAAGAGTATTGTAGAAAAGCGCTTTATAAGACTTTACCATTATGTAGCACTTCTGTTATTCAGCTTCTTCCAACATGTTTGCAAACCTATACTTTCAAAGTAGTTTTACCCAACACTGAAAATGCCTTCAATGAAAAGCCCTCTTTTTTAAAGATGTTTTATTGGCATGCAGACACATTCGTTGACACAAATAAGGCAAAGTACATCAGTTGATTTAAAAATCACAGCTCCAAATAAAAACTCCTGCAGAGAAAGTAAGTCACTGCAGTGCTGACATAAATGACAAAAGTCACAGTCTTTCTCTTCACACAGAGCACATGATGAATGACTTCAGTTGCTCTGTGTCACTTACACACAAACAGATAAAAATGAAGGCGGCTCAGTAAAATACTCCTGTTTTTCTTATTAATAAGCTGCATCTCACTCACTGTGTGTGGGATTGAAATGGGTGTTTTCTGCCTTTCTCAACTGCTCCCTGTTCTGCAAACTTACCAGCACTGTTCTAGAATAAAAAGTGAGCAGCTGACACGAAGGATAAAGTACAAAACATGCTGACTTTTGGTGACAAACTGTGTGACTGTACGCAAACACACACTTTTACACTTTGTCGGATGAGCGCTGCTCAGGCTATAAACGATAAAATCTGCATTCCACGCATTATGGAGCCTACCTTATTTCATCCAGTATCTGGAGAGATTCTTCTTAAGTTCCTTTCTCTGAACCTAATCCTTCCTCCTCTTATTCATCCCTTGCTGCCGTTCCACCCACCTCTCCCTCATCCCGGCGCTCCCGTCTGGCAGCTCGTGACACCCCAGTCATCTCCTCATCACAAGAAAAAGAACCCATAGCACAAATTTCCCCTGTGCTCGCATCTAATGATGTGGCCCTCTGCGTTTTCCCTTATTTTCTACTATTTTTAGACCGGGGAAACTAAGAACATAATTGGATTTGCAGGGCAAGCTAACAACAGATGGGGCAGCAAAGCACCAATCCATTGTAGGCAGCACTGTGTTAATCTGATGCTTCAACTACTAGTGACACATTAGGTTAAAGCAGGAATAAACACAATGTGTTCATGCAGCTACTGACAGCTTCATGTGACTTCTCTAAAAGTGATTTTCTGAAACTTGGATTTATGCATCTGTGGACAGGCAAGCATTATGTTTCATTGGGCCCAGGTTCTTTTGTTTAAAGTATGCTGACAATCTACATCATTAGTAGTCAGCTTTGCGTTTAAAAACTTGCAAAATAACAACTCGGTTGTAAATCATGTAGGTTACAACCTCGGATACCTCAGTACTATAAAGTCCTGTAATTAGACAGGCTCAAAAGTTAAATATTCCTTGAGAAAACTGTGCCATTTTGGGGAGGCAGTTTTATATATTTTTTTGTCTGTTTAATTACTTCTTTTATTACCCTAACATATGAAAGAGCACTTCGTAGAGACGTCTGCATTTCCCCCATTCTCTGCCAGAGTAAGCTTTTTTTTATATATATAGACAACAGGATGAAGTGTGGAGACAAGGTACTGACAGGACAAGGAATGGAAATTGATTTAATAAACTTACTATAATAAAAAATGGATAAACAGCTAAATAAAAGAAGGTAATTGATGTGTAAAGCTGTGTATAATTATATATTAGAAAATGTGGGGCTGGAATGATAAATATTGCAGTTCATAAGCTATGAAATAGCGATGAAATATTGAAGTCCACTGTGTGATTTCTTATTTTGAGGTGTTGATCTGACAATTGGGCATCACTGATTAGCGCTGCTGCAGTGAGCAGGTCAGTGAAAATGGCAAACAAAGATGGAGATAGTGAGCTGTCGTGTGAATCTTTGTGGTGTGAGCCCGTCTGTGTACCATTCTCTTACTCAATGGGAGACTGCCTCTCCAACACCAAATCTGTGTAGGGTGCTGAATAAAATGTCATATGTATTTTACGTATACATAATTTAATTATATGTATGTGATAAATGTTGATTTTGAGGCTTTGATAAGTCAAAATGTTACAAAGTATGATGCTATGGAACAACTTTTGTACTTTTAATGAAAGGTTTTTATTTAGAAAAGTAAAGCAAAGGCTACACCTCATAAAAGTAGTCTATAAATACCTTTAAATTGTCATTCAGGACAAAATTATTTTCATTTGCCGCTTTAACATGTATAAGTTTAACTGGAATAGTTATTTTTATGTGAACCTGTCTTACATTTGCTTGATAGCTAGGTGTAGAAAACAGCTATAAAACTGATAATACTTTGTTAGCGCTATTTTAAATGTTACTCGTCACTTTTGTATAACGTTTTCAGTAGAAGATGAGTAGTTGTACCTTTCAGGTTTTTAAATAACCCTTTAGCAAGTAGTTAACATCCACCCATTCCCATTGAACGCGACATCATTCCAAAACGTTGCAAAACCGTCGCTTCCGCTTTGCAGACGTAGCCGCCGGGAACGCGCAGGCGGTTTTGAACGCCCCCTGGTTCTCATTGTGCAGCCGAGGAAACATCGGAAGGTTTCGACGACGTTGGTATGAAATGGCAGAAACTGCCTGGGTCGCGGAAGCACTGAGACTAGGTTGCGTAGAAGCTACACATGTATCTTGCGGTGTTCCCAGCCTGCTAGTGTGACGAAACGGGAGTGTAACCGGAGGGAAGAAAGGGATTAAAGCGCTGTTTTCCTCCTAAACACCGTCCAGCTTGTGTCTCCGGCAGCAGGCAGCGAGTGGCGACTGCGGGGTCGACACTGTTGGAATTAACCAGAGAGGGGTGAGCTCGACATATGGATTTTTTTTTCTCCCACTGAGACATGTTTGACGTGTTATTGTCAACTGCTGGGAGGGGAACGGACAAATGTGGGTCACACACGTTACTCTAAATAGGTGTCACCATAACGTATAGGGTGACCAGCACCACAGCAGGCAGGACAGGTCTGGCCTAAATGGTACAAGGCAACCAGAGTGAGCGGCTACACTGGGAAGTATACCTATCCATGTCATTAGCACAGCTTACACCGCCAAGCGTGAACTGGGTGGTGTTTGCCACTCGTGAAATCCTCAAGGAAACCGCTATGACCTCCAGCTTGTGCTCACCTACATCCCCAGTGTAAACAGAAATCACTTATTAACGCCTTTGAATACACCCTGTTTTTATTCAGCACCGGTTTTCTGCTTTTTTTATGTTTTGTGTTTGGCAGCATAGCTGTACAGCTTGTAACATCACAGAGGTATAAAAGTATCAGGCTCAGACTGCAGTCTTTGTGCTTGTGTGTTTTTAATGTGATGATTTAACCTGCAGATTGACAAATGTACTCCTTTTTTTGCCAGTTGCATCAGTGTGAGAGCATTTCTCAGCTCCTGTCTTTATTATAAACAGGGATGAGATCAGAGTATTGTGTGTTTCTTATCTAACACACGAGATTATTGGCTGTATTAAGAATTTTATTATATGGCCAAAGTTGGGTTAGGCAGAAATCACCCCAGGTTGCAGCTTGTGCACTCAATATGTGCATCTTGGTTACGCTGAAGTGCTTCTGTCGTCATATTTGGGCGATGCAGCTCTCACAGTGCACTGCACATTGCTAGCGGGGCTTTTGGGAACAACCTGCCAAGAGGACAGGGATGGTCAGGCCAAAAGATCCAAGAAATCTGATTCCTGCACCAAAAGCAAAAGGTAGCCTGCAGAGCCAGGATTATGAATCCACATCGAGCCCACTCTGACATCTTGATACTGAAATGTCCGAGGGATTATAAGCCTCTTAACTTGTGAATTTTACCATGGTTTCAGCTGATTTGTGTTGTCTTTCCGTGACAACTGTTTGTATCTAGACACCCATCAGCAGGCCATTTTATTAGTAGACACAAGTGTGTAGCTTTTTTTTTTTTTTTTTTTGGAGTCTGGAGTCATTGTTTGACATAAAACCAGTCATCACGGTAGCGATGCAGTGCTCGTCCTGCTTTAATTCTTCTGCTGGGACCAGCCCTAACACAAATACAACAATTAACCCAGCACGTCACAGTTCAAACAGTCACAGCTGAGAGCAGAGACGGTTGTGCCTCTCTGCACTTTTAGATTATGGACACAAAAGGTTGGTCCATATTGCTTTGTTTTTGCCTACAGAGGCCCTAATATCATATACATTAACCTAAATAAATTAAGCTTCTTAAAAGAAGGGCCCAGAATTTCTGAGCAGGAAATGGAAACAATCATTTTTTTGTATATTATGAATTGTGACGCGTCCTCTTCGTTATCTGCAACATTTTACACACTGCTCCGGTCGTCTTTGTTGTTTTCAGACGTCGTCTGTGATTTGACATCGCTGTCACAGTGTTTGCTACTACAGTATTAAATAGTAATGTTAGACTGTTATCAGTTATGTTTACATACTTGGGTTGTGGACGTGCAGTCTCATATAATGCATTTATTTACTGTAAACAGCATGCTGATAAGACACTTAAGCGGAGCCAGTTTAAAAATGCTAAACTAGCCGACAGGGTGGGGGGAAAATCCAGTCTGTCAGCAGCTTATCCAGCTGCCTGGTTCGGTACCTGTAGATTGTCACCATTCTAAAATTTTCATCATCATCCGTGAGCTGAACTTCTTATATGTTGGCGACAACTATGATGATGCTACCTGCAGGTCCTAATTGAAATAGGCTTTCAGGCTGTCAAACAGTGCACTCTTCAGTTTGTAGGAATATTTTGTGTTTGACCAGGCGTTTCCTCAGATTAGATGTATTGCCTTGTATTGAATTTTGAGCTACAAATAATGCAGAAAGCACTATTTTGCAAAATGGAGTCACACCTGAGACTGCTTTCTGCTTTCCACTGCCTCCTTTTCGGCGCATGTTGTTCTTCTACATGTTGCAGAGGTGGCATTGGATGCTTTGGGTCCCTTTGTTGTTCTAACCTAGTTTTTTTTTAAAAATTTATTTATTTATTTTAAAGTCGAGCCTTATGTTGTCTCACACATTAAAAGAATAATTCCCAGTGTCATCCTCAGAGTGAAGATTACAGCTCATTAACTCTGGTATCAGATTACTATTTGATACTGGCAGATACCTAAAGCCAAGGTATTGGTATCCTATCAGCACTGGAAAAAGCTGAATGAGCAGATCCCCAGTCTGGAGCCTAGGGGATGGGTCTATTTACTGGTATTATAGCATGTGCCCCTCTGCTTTATAGATTGGTTAAGCTTTTCTTGTGGTGTGTTTCCTGTCTGCTACCATGAGGCATGTGATACTCACACAAATTAACTGCCTGGTTTTTTTTGTTGTTGTTTTTCTTTTTTAAAATTTAGGTTTTTCTTATTCAGAGTATTGTCAATTACTTGATCAGCAGTTTTTCAGACAGCTTGAAATCTAGGCCAAGATTACAGGAAGTTTAACAATAAACCCCCCGTGGTTTGTGTCTGCAGATGGCCATGAGAGAAGTGTCATTCAGGGCCTTCATTGGTACCAGAATTTGGCACTGAATAAGGCCTTGTGAGCTCTTATCAGCAGCAGCTACTTTGGCTGAGTGCGAGCGCTTTGAAGATAAAAAGCGATACTGCTGGTGGAATCGACTGTGGTCACCCAGATAACTTGGAACTGTTTGATATTTGCAAGAATTTCGTGTTTATGGTTTTTCTTTTCTGGGTGAAACGGAACAAAGGTAGACAAGATGGGAAAAGAAGGATCAGCTCCCAGCGTGATGGACAGCTGTGTGGGAGAATATCTGGACAGGAGCAGCAGTTCAGAAGCCATATCTGCTACTTTTTGACACAGCTATCTGTTTAGTTCTGTCTGGCTGTCAGAGACCTTATTTGCCCACCACCAGTGTGTCAGTGGATGGCAGTAGCTGTGCCACGTGTGCTTAATTTGAATTCTGATACAGCTGCAACTTTCATGTGCCACATGTGTTTATAAAAGCGGGTTGATGGGTTTAAAAATACTGTAGTGCTGTAGTATTGTCATTTATTTTCAGATTAGCATGTACAAACTAATCCTAATTGATAACTGAGCCAGTTGTCAAAAAACCTGCACCACTGCTATGGCAATTTTTCTTTAAGAAATGTCTTAAACCTTAGTTCTACTGAGCTGCTTCAGTGTGTTTTCACATGTGTAAAAACATTTATCATTAAGAGCAGGATAATAACATACATTAGCTAATTAAATGGTTGGAGCTGGTGTCTTAAGAAAACATCCCTGGTGCTTGGGCCTGGCAGAGCGTTCAAAAGCCAGCCTGGCTGTGGTGAGAGCAGCTTACACTCGGAGTCCTGCTTGATTTTCATCTGGAAAACTGCAGAATCTTACCTGTGCAGACTAAATAATTAATAAGCTAGTTTAACAGCTTCTTGCACAGTTAAGTATTTCCTGATTCATGTTGAGACAGAAATGATTGCTTCTTTTTTTTCCCATTCAGTTATATGTAGATCTTGGCCCGTCTTACCTTTGTGGTCGTCTAGGTTTGTGCTGTTGTGATTATAATTTCTTATTCAAGTGGTTCAAACTAGGGCTGCCACAAACGATTATTTTGATAGTCGACTAGTCACCGATTATTTATGCGATTAGTGGAGTTGTCAGATCATCATCCACTGGACGTAAAACTACAGCTTATTGCACCAGCAGCATCTGCTCTTATATAACTATCATTAGCTTACAGCTTTAAGCTTTTAAGGTG